AAAAAAAAAAAAAAAAAAAAAAAAAAAAAGAATATCAATTCTAAACAATACTTTTTCTCGTATTTATTTATCCCACCTTGTTTCCTGTGAGTTTTTCCTCCTTATTCTGACATATAATTGAGTCACACTTATACAAAACCAGCCCTTCTTCAGAACATACCAGGAAACTCAAAGCTAATAAGATTATTTTGTTCTTCCCCTGTAAAGCCCTTGCCATTACTATTTCTGCTTCTGTGAACAGTATGATCTTTTATATCTGGCCATGCATCCATTTCATATTCATTCCTCAAGGCCAAATTCAAGTCCTGCTATCACCTGGAAGTGTCTGTTGTTTTACATTTTGTAGTTTAATCCCTCCTCTCCATGAAATCTTTATTTTCAGGATGACAAGGGTAGGACTTTTACTGCATATGATCATATGTTCTAAGGTTCTTGTGTTGGATTTGGACAATAGCTACTTTTCACTGAGCAATTTTGTGAGCTTGTGACGTGAGGTTAACAATTGCATCATTACTGCCCCAAACCTCATGCACCACCTTGCGCACCATTCATTATTATGTGGTTCCTCAATAAATATTTTCAGTTGACTCACTTATTTAGGATTACAACTCTATTTAAAGATATCAAACTTAAATTTTTATTGTGATACCTGTTTTCTTTTGTCAAATTATGATTTTCAAAGAAAAAAATGACATGAACATGAAAGACGATCACTAGTAGTGCCTTAAAAAATCCAAATTATTATGATACAGTCTATACAAATGGGTTTTTACTGTACAATTGGAGAGAAAAGAAAATAAATGTATAGTGAAAACCACAGTAGTTTTGAAATATAAATGATAATATGCCAACTTATATTAAAATTAAATACCTTGAAATCTACTCTATTCAATTGATATAATACTCAAGCTAAAAAATAATATTTACTGTGGAACTACTAAGAATTCATTTCGCCTACTATTCCCCACATAGAAGTTGAAATATGTACAGAACATCTTACTGAAGCATTTTTTTCACTTAAATAAGGTAATGTGTTCAATGTTTATAATTCACTGACTTTTGTTATCTGTGTAATTGCAGCAATTTGTTCCAATTCATAAATTTTATTTTCTGCACCTGGAGTTTGGACTTGTTAAGAGGTCAAGATAGTAACACAGGATGATGACGTATAGAGGAAGGGCAGGTGAATTCCAGCACTCCCTGCGCGGCAGGCATAGCGTAGGTACTTTCCCTATGTAGTCTCAGGTCAGGCTTCTGGTCGCACTTTCAGGAGGGTGTTCTGGTTTACCGTTAGAGATGAGAAGATTAATGGTCAGAGAGGTTAGTTAGTTTATTCACCATTACATAGTTAATTAACCACGATGCCAAGCTTTTAATCTCTCCCTTGGAGCTCAAAGACTACACTGAGATCCATTACCCCAGTAAGCTTTCCGTAAAACCCAATTGTATGCGTATTTGAGAAATAACCCTGATCTAGGGACCTCAAGAAAGTTGGTAAATTTGTGGTTAAAATGAGCTTTTGTCTTGTGCACTTTTAGAATTATTTAAGAAAAATTCAAAACAGCTTAATTTAAATCCAAAGGAAAAATAATTGTCACAGCCCATTCTGGACATATGTCTACACATAACTTTCGTATATGTGTAACGGTGGCATTAGTAACGGAAGCAAAATCTAGGGTAACCCTTTAATCCTTCTGCAGTTAGACAATGATGATTCATGACTGCTGCATTTTCTCATTGGTGTTCTCAGTTTTTTAATGCAAATTTTTTGCAACTTTGTCCATCCTGAATTTCTTTTACAATAATACAGGTATCTTGCAAATCACATTCCTATGCTTAACATTAGTCATGAGATTTATTTCAAATAATGCAATTTTATCAACTGTAGCATTGCATTTTCCAAGCATTGAGTGCTGTCTCTAGGGAAAGAAAAATATATATATATATATTTTTTAACAAACATCAAATATATTGATGTTTTAAATTACCCTCAAAAATTAAGTATTTTTTGTTAAAATATTGTATGTTTTCTACTGTTGTTATGTTGTGTATATAAATTTGAGGGAACAAACTATACATATGTCCACCTCACAATTTTGACTCTTAAAAAATATAGTGCAGAGAAACACTGCAAATTTTAAAACAAGATAGTTATTAACATTATTATCACTGTTAGTATGCGATCCTGCCACGAATTGTCATGGTCTGAGAATAAATCTCATCCTTAGAGACCACAGGAAGGTATCCTACTGTCATGAATTTATTAACAGATTTATTAATCTCTCACCATTTAGTAACAGTTTTGTGCAGATGATCTGATAAGGATTGGGTGAGATAAAAATTTAGGTGACACGACTTTGACTTGAAGGACCTTCATTTTATGTCTTCTGTATAATTAGGTGATTTTATTTATTATTTAAACACATTTTTATTGAATAAAATTATAAACATTTGCTTCCAGGCCTTTACTTATTTCCCTTGATACTGACGGCATAGCAGGTTACTGGAGTCCTGAAGATAGGGTAGGAGATACCGTCAGTGTGCACCGGTGCCTGGGCTTC